CATTAGACCGATCTTGATATATACATCACCAACTTGGAATGGAAACTCCCAGTTGCAAGATGTCACATGAGTCGACAGTCTGTCATCAGACTACATTTGATAGACCTGTGCTTTGATGAACTATTACGTTCAGAAATCAAACAACAAAAATCAGCGTTATATTTTCAAATTTTCACAGGACTAGTTTCGATGGTTTTACCGAAACCACCATTGTCAGCTGCAAAAGCGCAAATGAAAGAAATGATAACTATTATGTTTCAAAGAACACTTATTTCAGTAAATTTAAACATGATTTAATTTTCTCATCAAACTTAATAGGTCATTTGGATTCCTTTTAGAATGTCTTGAACACGCAAGATTCTGAGCTGAAATATGAGCGAAACTGTAATTATTTTCATTATTTTGATATATCGCATGTGTATTAACTGTAAATATTGTACAGATTTTACTCAACTCAGCTGTGAAATTACAACATTACTCAAGTTTTGTAATTATAAAGGTGCTCTAGATATGAAACAGATTTTTATAGACAGATTTCTGACCAGTTTTATGGCAGTCTCAGATGCAAAGTGCCTCGCTTAGCAACCAATTTGCCCCATCTTTAATTTTGATACAATTGTGAAGAACCGTTAAGAGTGAGGCCCCAAGTCGGATTCATTGATTGATCTGGTAAAAGCAGAGTAATTCGCAGCTATACACCAGAATAAGGAACCAAAACATCAAAGCATCAAGAAATTTGTGAAGATTGTGTGTCCTTCAGATGTGCCTATCCGGGGTGTATGTCGTACCTAGTTATCGACGTGGGCAGTAGCCGTGATTCTCTCAGCATGGTGCTGCATTGCTATGCATGGAATTTTGAGATTGAAACTAGCTGTCGATAGGAATAAGAATCTAGCATATTGTTCCAGACAGCATTTGTCTGAAGTGTGATGGCATTATTGCTGTTAAGTATCTTCCGACATACCAATCAAGTGCTAGTCAACTGTTATTCATCTTCATGTTATGTGTTTTCCTCACATGCCGTAGGCTGACGTATCCTGTTCCTCTCTTTTGTTAAGTTCAAGGAAACTACCCATTGAAATTTATATTTAACTGACAGCAAATATGCTTTTTTGGTAGACAACCAAATTTTATACAACACTACTATTAACATCACTCAAAATTAAAATTAAACAGTTTATGAAGTCCAGTTAACCAAGGTTCCCAAGAAGCTCTTTAGAGATATACGTCTAAGTTGTAAGTCAAACGTATGTCTTTTAGTGTATAACAAGGTAAGCAAAATTATTTCTTTCTTCCTTGACTTTACTGAAATTGTGTGTAACTAATGAAAATGATGAACCTAATATGCAAACTGAAAATTTGTACAATAGAAAATTTGTGAAATGTGTTCCAAGTGTGTGTTCCAAGTGAAAATGGTTTTAACCCAATCAGAACTAGTGAGTGGGCCGTTAATAAAGCCTGGAAATTTCGAACCTAATTAAGCTGAATTTGACAAGTCGGTCTCTGTAGATCAAAACGGTTTAGCAGTAATTGCTGTAACTGTAAAAACCATCGGAGATATTGCACAGTAAAAAATTTCATACGAAGCGTGGATGAAACTTCACAAAATTCATCAGTCTAAAAGCCGTATAATTAAAGTTAGCATTATGAAGCAATTTATTTAGAAAAAAATGAATGCTAACGGGAAAATGCAGGATTACTTAAATTCTTTCTTCGAAATTATAGGTAAACTTGCAGAAACGGGACTTGAAATACAAGAAGAACTCGTAACTATTTTACTATTATGCAGGTTAACTGAAGAATTTGAAAGTTTTAGAAACGCGATAGATAAATTGCCTTACATAAACACACTAAAAGTTATGTTATTAGAAGAATCAAAATCGCCAGTTTACAGCACACAAAACAACTTAGAGCAAGGTGCGTTGGTTAATAAATACCGCGAAAAATAATTCTAAAAATGCGAAAGATTTTAGTTGCTACAACTGCAAGTGAAAAGGACACAAAATGTTAGAAGAAATAAAAGCCAAAATCCTGTTCAGTCAGCATGATAAATATAACGAGAGAATTAATAACACGTAATTGGTACATTGATTGAGTAGCAGCCGCACACATGTGGAATGACAGAAGTAAATTCACATTAATAACTGATATAAATACGAATTTTTAGAAATCTAAGGGAGAAGGGAAGTTGAATTTTCACTACAAATAATACGTAGCTATGTATTATAGGTTCCTACCTAAAAATGAACTATAATTAATTTAGTAACTCCACTAAAATGTACTGCATTATAAAAGATGAAAAGATGATGCTCGATCTAAAGATATTAAAATGTCATAATGAAATCCTTATTTGGAAAATTTTTACCAAATGTTGACTAATAAGTTTACAATTGCCGAAGAAAACGTACACAGTAGACGGTAATATCCTTGAACTCTTACACACTGATATTTATGGTCCCATGGATGTCACATCTTTTGGTGGTACAAAAATATTCATGACATTTATAGACGACCAATCGCAGAAAATTACTATATGTGCTCTACGGAAAAGGTCCGAAGCCCTTGAATTATTTAAGAAGTACATATTTCATGCTGTAAAACAAACGGGAAAACAACACAAAATACTCGGTAGAGGTTATGCGAAAAAATTCAAAACCCGCGAACTGAGGCAATTCTTAGGAAAGGCAGCTAAACGCTAGTTTGGCTGATCTTTGGAATATTGCAACAGAAAAAGAGTTGCAAAACTCGTCATTCGAACCATAGTTAAAATCTGGTCAGATGTCCGCTGTTCAAATCGAAATTACACCAAACAATGCGAACAAAAATGGTATCAATAGCTGCTTTCATCCGTAACAGATGTCTGCTAAAAGCTGCCCAGAGACACCTAGAGAAATTTGGTATATAAGAAAGAATTCAATATCGCACTTCAGAATCATAGGAAGCAAAGGTTTTGCACTAACCAAGTTCAAACAGAAAAAAATAAATTTCTTCCGAAAAGTGAAAAATACTTTCTTATTGGATATTCTGAGGAAATAAAAGCATACATAATTGGACTGTACATAGGGTCATAAAATGTGGTGTCTTTCCGTAATTGAATAACTTTGGCTTAAACAGTCTCTTGTTTACGTCAAATGTGGATATAGTCTGCACGAATGTGGATGGAGATCAGATCTGCAGACTGTAACATAATTATTACTGATGTAGATGATCTGATAATTATAACTAAAAGAGAATTCTGTATGATACACATTAAGAAAACTCACAGCAAAACTTCTGAAATGACGAGATTCTGGTAGGGTAATATAAAATAGTGTTTAAGGGGACTCATACATCTCAAACCCCTCATGATCTTCGGATATGTGACTGTTGCAAGAATTTGGATATTTTATTTATTTTAAAAGCAATTACTTCCAACTTTTTACAGCTGACTACATATTCGAGGCTGCGTTAGAACTAGTACCCGAAAGTTGTTGTTGCCACAACTATTTTTGTAATTTAATCCCTTGTGACAAATATTTCGCATGTTTCCCCACCTTGCGCGCATGATATTTTTAAAAATGGCTCTGGTACATTCTTTGAATTTGGATGGAATTCTTTATATGGGGCACTATTTTTAAACTGAACCAACAATCTATCATATTTAATATTGAAAACTTTTATGGACTTACAATTTTTGTTAATAAAGACATTTTTATAAACTCACTCAAACTCAAATAAAATAAAAATTAACATGAATTTTTAGAATTTTAGGTTTACAGTATTTCCAATGTCATAAAATCTATATATTAAATATAGAATTAAATTATGAACCGAATGTGTTTTAGATTGTGGGCGCAAGTTGGAAACATGACGAAAAATGTTGTCACAGCGGATTAAATTATAAAAATATTTGTCAACACAAACTTTTCCTATTACATTCAGAAAGCACATCTTGTGTAGTCAGCTGTAAAAGGTTGGTATTAATTGCTTTTAAATAATAAGTTTCTCCCAATCTTGGCAACAGTCACCTATTCGAACATCTTATGGGTTTTAAGGTGTATGAGCCCCCTTAAGCATCAACACTGAACAACATGAAGATGTACTAATTAGCAAAATTCAGTACATAAAAGAACTCTTGACTAAGTACGGTATGCAAGAATGTAAACTTATACGAAAATCGTTAGACTCTACATTAATCTGTGCGAATTTTCAAACAGCGCCAAAGAAAATAAAAATGTGGACAAAAATAAGTATCAGTCCTTAATCGATCTGTAATTTACTTAGCTGTACCTACATGACCCGACACTGCAAATTCTGTTAGTAGACTAAGTCAATTCAGTAATTCAAAATTCGTTCATTGGATTGAAGCAACATGCATACTACAATATCATAAATCTACGTTAAAAGTCAAGATAACTTGTCCCAAAACAAATGAAAGTCTTAAATGTTAGGCAACCTCGGATTGGGCTGAAAAAACTCGACAAGAAATCTTTTAGTGGATATAGTTTCATATTAGCAGGAAACCCGAATTCTCGGGAATCACGTAAGCAAAGAATTGTAGCGCTATCAATTACTGAAGCAGAATACATACAGTTAACTGAAGCTCAAAAAGAAACGATTCACTTGCGTTGGGTATTAAGAGAGCTAGGGCTTCAATTTTGTTATATAATGATAATCAAAGAGCATGATATTTGGTGAAAACTCCAGTTCATCATTCTAGAATAAAACACATTGATACACGTTTTCATAACATTAGGGAGCTACATAACAAAAAGGAAATTGATATTATGCAGAAATGCGCTTTTAATGAAGATTCTCGTATGTTTTATTGAAGTTAATATTAATTAAGTGTGTTAATGGCTAATCTCGAATGTTTTAATTTTTTCAGCTCTGCGAGGGAGAATGCAGGGAAATCTGCGGCTGCACAGTGCTGAAGAGGCGTAGAATTCAACGCTATATGGTTCCGCGGTAGAAATTTGTGAAGACTGTGCGAGTCCTCTCGTCTGAGATGTGTATCATACCTGGTTATCGACGTGGCCAGTAGCCATTGATTCTATCCAGCGTGGTGCAGCAATGTGATGCATGGAATCCTGACATGGAAAACAGCTGTCGATAACTATAGAATAGGAATAACAATATAGCAGATTATCTTGGACAGCATTTATATGGCGTATCATATGAAATCGTTGCAGTCAAGCATACTGCGAAAAAAAAAAGGGACAGTTTTAAATCTCCCGTTCTACTGGGCCGATTCAAATTTCGTTTACGATATACATATTCAAATTTCGTTTTCCATGTATCGAAAGCGCGACTTAGGATTATACTATATTAGATTTATACAAAGCATTGCTCTAACATAGATATTTTGACATAAAATGAACGTTTTCTGAAATAACATACCAATTTGTTTACATATTTCGATTCTACGGCCCAAATTCTACCTAAATATTAAATTTTATAAACTTTGGTATGAAATTTATCGAAAAATTCAAAATTTTACTAGACACATTTTTTTCAGTTTGCGCCAAGCATATTTCACTTGTCGAACTTCTTAATGTACGGCAATATAATTTTCTTTTCCCTTCCAATGAGTGTCACATCGTTCCTACCTTTTTACATTGCGGATGAGAGGGAATAAAGTCCCCATCGTTCCTACTTTCAAATAATTTTAACAAAATACCTAAACCACATTTCATGTTATCGCTTTCAACAAATATGCCAAATTTCAAAACTCGCCAATGTATAAATTCACGTATATCTTCGGAAATTTTAAACAAAAAATTCTAATTTTTTGCAGGTATACTTGTAAATACATCTACTGTAAGATGGGTGGTAAAAGTATAAGTTTCTATTAAAAGTTTTTTCGAAATGTATAAAGTTATTTCAAATCACAAATGAAAAATAAATCATAAAAATTTGGGAATGTTATTTGGATGAACCTAATTTCGAAACGTGAAGAAAGAATCAATACATTTAATAAAAAAGAGATATTTATAAATTACATACCAACGGCAACTCAATTAACACTGAGGAGCTCAAATTTAAAGTTAATTTCTTATAAACTACTCGTGCGTAACTTTTCCAAAACTTTGCAGTTTGGCGTAATTTGAATCGTAAAATGGAAATATGAAAAAAAAATTGGCATGTCATTTCAGAAAAAGTCCGGTTTTATGTCAAAATACCTATGTTAGAATAGTGCTATATATAAATCTAATACATAATCTAAGTCGCGCTTTCGAGACATTTAAAACGCAAGTTGAATTTCCTCAATCGTCCCAATAGAACAGGAGATATAGAACTGTTACTTTTTTTCCTGCAGTGTACCTGCAGACATACCAGTTAACTGTATATCACCTGTTAAACATCTACTTTCTTCATGTTATGTTTTTAATAGATTGACATATTTTGCTCGTCTGTTTTCTTAAGCTCAAGGAAAGAAATAATTAAAGTTTATGTTTAACTTAATCAAGTAGGGTCCTTTGGTACGCAACCAAATTTTTAAACAACCCTACTCACATCATCATCCAAAATTAAAATTCAATACATATCTTAAATTTTTAATGAAATCAATTAATGGAAAATTTTTAAAATAGGTATGAAACGCAAATGTTCAGTTAGAGGAAGGTGAAATAACTTAAAAATATATCTCAGATATTTTGGTCAATAGTGCATATTCATACACATTAGGTAAAAAAAAAAAAAAAGGTGTGTGTGTTTTTAATAAATATATTTATTCATCAACAAAATAAGAGGTAAATGTAAGTATTAGCTGCGATTTCTATGCTGGCTTTTAGAAATAAGTTTCTTAACATAACTAGTAATTTAACTGAAGACTATATAAATCCTAGATATCGATGCTATTAGGTGTGCAAGCAAGAAATAGGAAAAAAACATTTACCAGATACTACCATGTGATTGGCAGAGACGACCATTTCGTGGGAATCCACATGCAGTAAAACATTGCCCGCCGTGCTTCTCACTGTAAAATAGTTGCCAATGGATTGTAATCCCGCTTCACCTGAAAAAAATAATTTGCTTAAATTAGGTATTTCAATAAAAACAAAAATTATGATAAGTAAATAAGTACAGTTTATTATTTAACAATGCCTTTTATTCTTTAACACTGGAAGAGTAGTTACAGAGAGTGTTTACACATTTTTAGAATGATTTCGAGCCGTTGAAGTAATATTTAAAATGTAAAGAGTATGTTTAAGTGTTCGATTTCATAGCCTTATTTTCTGGACGATAAGTTTGCATAGTGATTTCCATGATGTACGAGCTTTCTTAAAATTTTCAAGGATAATGATTAGCATTTCTCTTCCGCTACTTTCTAGAGTCTACCAATAGTTGTAGGTTGGCGCTAAGAAAAAGTTCTTTTCAAGAGATCAAAGGTATAATTGATCATAGATGAAATGTCGAGGGACTTTACAGGAATACTTCGAAAAGTTAAATATGCAATACCTGTATCTGTCTTGATTTTGAAAAGAAACGCAGTGGTTCGTTTCGCCATATGGTTTGTTGGCTTTGTCTTGATAAAGTTTCGCACATATAAAGCAAGTGGAATAAGGAAATTTCTTCTGAAAATATCAGATAAGCTTTATCTTGATAGTACGTTGAGTTGATTTTGACATTTTTTCCAACCTTTTTACTTTCCCATTGTAAGAGAATCCTGCGACAATCATAAATCCCTTAATTGAAACCCTATACCGAAACTTTGCATTGACAGAACCATGTTTGTACATTTTTCTCGCTTGGTTTTCGATAATAAAAAGACGATTTTTTGTTGCCGTCATTTAGGTTAATCCATGCTTCATTAAGGGTCACAATGTATTTTCATTTATCTTCTGCTAAATAGTTTTCATACAGGGTTCTACAAATCGTTCTGCGTTGAGCCATGTGTCTTAGAAAAATTTGGTGAAAATTAGTTTTTTAGTTTTTTTTAAGTTGTAAATCTTGATTTATCATTTTATTTAATATTGCTACAAATGTATTTGATGACTTTGCAATTGATTTCTATGTCTGTTAACAAAGATTTTACGTTAAGAACAGCATGTACATTTTTTGGGTGTATCCCGAAATATCCTTTTGTTGTAGAATAAATGACTGACGGTTGTACCCTTTCCGATTATTAATATTGCTTATTTTGCTCTCTGAAGTTTTAATACCATGCATTTCACAACGTTTTTGAATTGGGGAATAGGAACAGTTTTCTTTGAAAAGAGCAAAAACATATCCTTCAAGTCCATACCTTATTAGCGTGCGACATTTTGGAGGAAGAATAAGTTTAAAAGTAGCAGATGATGTTTCTCATTTGAAAGAATAAGATTTTGCCAGAAACTTTACTCTAAAACATTTGCTATTTTAAAAGTTCTTTTTAGAAATCGTTTTAAGTGTAAACACCCTCTGTAATTATACGTTTCCTTCCTCCGAATCTTTCAAGTAGTTATACAGATAGTGTAGCTAATACTAAAATTTTATTCACATCTATTTGAGTTGGCGTACATTTTGCATTTCACACCTATTTGAGTTGGCGTACATATTTTTAAATTTATTTTGTAACATATTTTTCTATATATTTATTTCATATGTGTGCATTTGTATGAATATCTGGAAATAATTATATTGAATGTTCTGTATTTTAGTTTCATTTTAATGCGTATAATACTTATATTATATTCTAATTTCAGAAATGTACAGTTAAAACAATTGAGAGCTATTTAATAGTTCTCGTAAAATAGAAGATTTCGAAATCTGTCTAACCAGAAGACAATCTGCAAAACGTTTCGGTAACCACCAGATTTGGAGGATTTGGAAATAATTTTCAAGTACCTCGAGTCTTCCACGCTGGAGTCTTGAAGTTCAAGCAGCGATAACGAAACTTTTAGTCTTCCTAGTCTTTAGTCTATCTCTAGATTATTTTAGTCTTTAGTCTATGGGATTTTACAGCAATATTTTCATCCCCGCAGACTATATCAAGTAAGATTTGAGTGCTTTTGCTTTCGATACTCCTATCATATGAGTACAATAAATAATATGGAACTTAATTATTGAATTTGCTTTAGTTTCATGAAGAATCATCTGGTTGTATTCTCAGACACTTGAATTACCTATATTCTACTTAGATTACATGGAATGCAATGAATTAAAATTTCAATAAAAGGACTTCACATACTGATATAATAAATATACTGATATAAAACATAAAGACAGAAAGAGGAGAGCGAAATAAACACATTTTGTAATGGAATGTGTGTGCAGAAATGTGAAGTAAAGTGTTAATGTTCAGCGGTAGATAAAAACGTTTTACTGGTAGAAATCTTCATTCCACGCGCTGTTTCCAAACAGTACGCGTCGCTGCGCAAACGCAAAACTCTCAGATAATGCATATTGTCTACTATTGGTAGAGTAATTGCTCAAAGGAGGTGCTAGGATATTACTCTCTCCATTAAGCAGCTGCTCCGTTTTAGCCGTAGCATTAGCTCCGTTTTAGTGTAGCACGTAATAAATAAAAGATGTATCGGTGAACTCCGCTGTCGTATAATGTGTAGCAAAAAAAAGTGTGAAGTAGAAGTGTGTGGTCTAAAAGAAATATAAAATTAAAGTAACTTAACCCCCAAAGGATGACAATTCAAATAATACAAATCAATTAATATTTATTATATCTTGACATCATTAAATTTTGAATCAGTACCAGCATAAAATTAAGTAGATATCGCCAGACAGAAGATTCTCAGTCATTTTCGTATAGTGCCGCTATATAGAAGAGTATCATCTACTATTTTGATCGTACTAACCAAAGTGGATCTGTCAACGTAAAGCAAAGTTTCGAGGTGTTAACTGGTTTCAATAATCCAGCACAAGGCGACTCGTTTAACCAAATTTCGCATATAAAAAAGTCGATTTTTTTTTGGCGGAAACCTTAATTGACGCGGTGTTAAAATTATTTTTAGTTGAAGCCTATCTTCAGTTCATTTCTTTACAGAGGAATTCATTTACGGCTACATCCATTCAACGGTATGGCAGTAATTTCTTTACGAGAAAAAAACATGAGGGGTCCATTGGATGAAAAGAACAAAAATGGCACACGCGTCAGCTGGGGTGAGGACAGCCAGAAGACAGTACCACTTCGGAGCCCAACAGCAAAAGTAAGAGAAACCGGTTGTAGCCGTCAATTTCGCCTTCTCATTCAGCGGTCGCAGTGAACGCATTTGATGTTGGATAAATGGGGAGGCTTGCCTGCACATAATGAAGCATACCGATTTAAACGCAAACAGAAAAAACGTTTATCTACTACTCAGCAGTGCCTTGTACTTCCCGAATAGCCCACCAGCGGCCGAGCAATACAAGCCGCTGAACAATGGTAGTTCGGACCGAGATCTGAGTACCGAATAACTAATAGAGACTAATTTATAATGTATTGAAGACATTTTTTCAGCTATTCAATCAGCAAGAAAGAGAAAAGCAAACCAACAGGGTCTGTCATTTCCTACTCCGCAATTAAATAGCAAATTTTAAATCTCCACAGTAAACTAAATATTTGCATCTTATTTAATGCAATGATTGCGTGGAAATATATGCTTCTAGGGAAAGGTCAGAAAGTCTTCCATGGGGCATCCCTCCTTTCCCGTGTAGTGCTTAATGGTGTAGCACGTAATAAATAAACAAAAGACTACCCGAAAGTACCACTTCTGTGCACATGTTCCATAGTAAAAGCTGATAATTGTAATCCTCTTTTCCTACCTTTGCCTTTTTGCCAAATATTGTTTTGATTACCCTATACATGTCCGTTCCTGTTATTGGTAGTTATTATTCATACTTTTTCAAAGGATCGCTATGGATGTCTATAGCCGTGTTTAATATATAATGACTTGTAGATAGGGGCTTATGATAGACAAATATGATTCGTATATCATGTGTATTGAATACGATGACCATGTGATTCATAGAGCATTGATATATAAATTGTAATTGTAAACACTCCGCTCTTTGTAAAAGCCATGGTGATTTTAGTATTCACATATTGCAACAGAATTATCATATTGAAGAACAGCTAAATCATATTAGAAATAAAAAAAATCCTTCTTGAGAATACGACAGTTAAGATTGTTTTGTTTTATTTAAGAATAAGACAGTCAAAAATATTAGTTCACCGTCCGGTTATTCTTGGGAGGCGATGTGAAGGCCAAATTACACGAAAGGGACATCTCTGATACCAATACTACCAACATCAATTTTAACGTAATTTTGTCTCTAAATAATGCAAATATGTCACCAAAAACAAAATTTAAGTCCCCAATACTCAGTTAATTGATAATTCAGGGATTTTAATTTATAATTAAATTAAAAGATGAAATTATGTCAGGTATTGAAAACATTCTTCTTACGCGTAATGTTTAACCTTTCGATACAGCAGTTCAAAAAACCTGAGCATGACTTACGTAATTTAGAAATGTTTCTTTTCCAACGATTACTGTCAACTTCATATCTGGCATTCGAGCTAAAGGTGTTGGACGAAAATCATCGCTAGACAAGAACTGTTTGACTGTTGACTGGCTTCTGAGTGAGTAATTTTTAGTAAAGAGACGAAATGCATTCTGCGTGTTGTTCTGGTATAATTATTATCTACAGATTTATCAGCGGAGTGGAGTTTTCGAGTTGTGTCGTCGTTTAAGAGTACAGTTTCTTTTCAATGATTCCTTTCTTCAGATAACTCCCGCATCCATAATTTCTCTTTAATATGCATTAGCATTTATTCACATATTTCATAAAGAAATTTGGCAGCAAATTACAAGAAACGACCTATAATTTATTATGCGGTGTTGTTTCATATAGGGTGGCAATGAACGTTTTCCATGTGCAATGTAAACTAAGACGTCGCTATGGGTACTTGTTAGTTTCAATTTTAGATTGTAAGTAAAAGAATATAGAAGGTATTCGTAAAACTACGTGTGAAGCTGTTTGCGAGAAGTTTCATCGTGTTACATACTTGGTTACGAACTCATCTAAAAGGTCAGTAGT